CTTTCTGTGTGGCGACAAACCTACTTCAAGCGTTTAATCACCACCTAAAGGGCTGCAGGGAGAAATTTAACGTCATACTGTTGGTAAATATAGTGTGATTAAGATTTGGTGCCTCTGAAATTTGAAAATTGCCTTTCAATAATTTGCGATTATGCAATTAATTGCCCAGCCCTGTTCTATTTCAATAAATAAGGTAAAAATAACAGATTTAAACAAAAATAAAGGATCAAATCTCATCCACTTGTTATAATAGAAAAATGAAAGCAATGCAATGAGGATTTAAAATGTTTTATTTCACCAAAGAGAACGGATTGGAAACACATATTTTCTTTTTATATTAGGAAGCTTGAAGGGATTTCTTTTATTTACAGAGAACCACATTCTGATGCGTGAAAGCAGCGTTATGGTGGCAGCATCCAGCAGTGGAAGCTGGTTAGAGGTCTGTGACTCAAGCTGCATTATCCATTATTAGACTCGTTTTTCTGTCTCCAAGGGTCCAGAGGGGCCTTCAGCTGCAGTTATCCCGCTGACTCCTTCTCCCGCAGCACTTTTATCTGATCCTCAACAGTTTTTAGTTCCTCCTTCAAAGCTGAAACCTGAACAGACAGGATGATAGAACATGAATAACTATTATCACTACATTAACATGATCACAGATGGAAAAAAAACCAACTCACTTTTAATTCATAACATTCAAGTTATTATTGACATGGAAAAAACACAAACACCTGAAAAAAAATCCCCCAATTCCAGAATGTATAGAAACAATAAATTTTAGACAAAAAAAATGTAGTTTCTCAGGAATAACAGGAATCCTTTAGTAATCTAATGCTGAGTTCAGAGCGCACGCAGCAGAAACGCACCTGCTGCTTCATTTATGATGCTTGTACTAATTTAGTTCTGACGCACGGCTGAAGCATTTTTGCTGGTTTAACTGCGAGTCAAAAAGTGGGTCTGATGCGCGATGGGCGGAGCTACCTTTCCTTTCTTTGCCTGGAACAATGGCAGCTAGATTTGCTGTGATCAGTGGATAAAAATTAGTTTTAGTTTAGTTTAATTTTCCCCAGCAGCAGCAGCTTCTAGCC